ACCCACCTAGGACTAGCCCTCTCCCCCAGAAAGAGAGAAATGATGGTAGATAGAAAAAAATCTTATTTCTTCCCTACTCTTATCACCAATAAAAAAAGATCTCCTCTCTTTTCTGGGATTAGCTGGATATTTCCGTGCTTGGGCCCCTAATTTCAGCATCCTAGCTCCACCTTTATATCAAGCAAGCAAAGGGGATCTCAACGAGCCAATAGATCCTATAATAAATATTCGGCCCTCTTTTGATGCCTTAAAAAATGCGCTGACCTCTGCTCTGACACTCACACTTCCCAACCTTACTCCACCTTTCCAGCTATATCCTGATGCAAGACAGGGTGTAGCGGTGGGAATGTTAACACAAAATAATAGGCCAGACACACAGGCAATACCGTATTTGTCCAAACAGCTGGATTTAGCGATCAGGGGCTGGGCAGCCTGCCTGAGAGCCTTGCTGCGGCTGCTCCTCTCACTAAGGAGAGTCGGAAACTCGCTTTGGACAGCCCGTCTCTGTCTACTCATCTCAATCCCTTGGCGATCTTCTTTCACACAAGGCCCTAGGAACGCTCACATCTTCTCGTTCAATAGTTTCATCTGCTTTTCCTAGAAACTCCACATATGTCCCTGGCCAAAAGCCCTCCTTTATTTATTTATTTTTGAGACAGAGTCTCACTCTGTTGCCCAGGCTAGAGTGAGTGCCGTGGCGTCAGCCTAGCTCACAGCAACCTCCAACTCCTGGGCTCAAGCGATCCTCCTACCTCAGCCTCCCAAGTAGCTGGGACTGCAGGCATGTGCCACCATGCCTGGCTAATTTTTTCTATATATATTAGTTGGCCAATTAATTTCTTTCTATTTATAGTAGAGACAGGGTCTTGCTCTTGCTCAGGCTGGTTTCAAACTCCAGACCTCAGCCTCCCAGAGAGCTAGGATTACAGGCGTGAGCCACCCGGCCCGGCCAAAACCGCCTTTTCATATGCTGGTCAGCGGTTCCCTCCTCAGCTGGTCGCGTCCCGCCCGCCCCGTCTGGGGTTCCCTGCTGCGGGGCTGGTTGCCCCGCCGGCCGCTGGGACGGGAAGGCGTTCTCTGCAGTGAGGTGGGCTTGCGGCACTCGCAGGACAGTTCGCACTCCTTGAGGAGCCTCTCCGCCCCCAAACGAGTCACCTTTCCTTCCCTCCGCGTCTGCTGGGCACTGTGGTCCCAGGAGAAGGTTGCTGGGGACCCCATCTCGGCAGGGGCCTGGATCCTCCGCGGGAGGGCTTGTTGTTTGCAGGGCCAAGGGGCACTAGGCCCTGAGAGACTGGCTGCACAGGAGCCCAGGGCTGGTCGAGGCAGCAGGACGCCCTTCCTAGGACTGGTTTACAGACACGTTCACCTTGGTAGGGACAGTGCAATGGAGCAAGTCATTTTTCTCTGTACAGTTCTCCTTAAAGCCTTCCTCAACCCTGACTTCCCCAGACTCAGAGGTGGTCTATTGGAGGCCCAGTTCATCTGGGAAAACTGAAAAGTCTCTTAGCTCGTCCTCCCTGGAAGTTGAGAGACCCATCACAGGTGGAGCTGGAGGACACTTTGCAGTCAGGTAGGCATAAACAAAAGGTCTGCCCACCCAATTCCACAACCAGTAGACCGATCACCCCTCTCTGCATTTGCTAGAATAACAAAACAAAATATCAGTATAGACAGAGAATCTGAAAACACTGTCAACCACCCCGATCCATTGGATGGTGGTAATGTAATTACCATTACATCGAGCAACTGAAAACAAACTGCACCACCCATGGCATGAGGTAGATATATCATGCAATTCAATGGCAATGTAGGGTGCTAGAATACAAGGCTCAATTTAAAGAGAAAAATTACAGTGTATTTTCTGAATACTATAAAATTAAATTGCAAATGAATATCAGGTGTTTGGCAGAGTTAGCTAGATGGTGGGGATGGAGGGCACGAAGGACAGGGAAGCATGACTGAACACAGACCAGATAATGCATTGTTAGTGGGGTTAAGAAATTGGCCAGGCACAGTGTCTCACGCCTGTAATCCTAGCACTCTGGGAGGCTGAGGTGGGAGGATTGCTTGAACTCAGGAGTTTGAGACCAGCCTGAGCAAAAGTGAGACCCTGTCTCTACTATAAATAGAAAGAAATTAGCCAAACAACTAAAAATAGAAAAAAAAATTAGCCGGGCATGGTGTTGCATGCCTATAGTCCCAGCTACTCGGGAGGCTGAGGCAGGAGGATCGCTTAAGCCCAGGAGATTGAGGTTGCTGTGAGCTAGGCTGACGCCTGGGCCCTCACTCTAGCCTGGGCAACATAGTGAGACTTTGTCTCAAAAAAAAAAAAAAAGAAATGAATGATGGTGAGCTAGAATCTCAATAATTACAAAGTAGAACAATTTGATGGTTTAGGCAATAGCTAGAAGGTGGAATTAATACTTTAGGGATTCATTCCTAACAATACAATTGTTTTCTAGGCCAAAAACATTTTGATTAACATAAAACATTTTGTAAACAAAAAAGCAAGAAATAGTAGACTCTATATATTTTTAAAAACAAAATTTATAAAACCACAGCTGACCAGTTTCCTGGGTCAGCAATAGCTATTTGACACAGACTTGGTGGATTAAAATAACAGAAATTAAGTGTCTCACAGATCTGGCGGACAGAAGTCTGTAATGAAAGTGTGGGGAGGGCTACGCTCCTGCCTAAGGAGCTGAGGTAGCTTCCTTCCTTGCCTGGTGCAGTTCCTGGTGGCTCCAGGCAGTGCTTGGTTTGTGGCAGCATAACTGGCCTCACTGGACTGGTCCCAGGCCCGAATCTCCCACTCTAGATTTTTAAAAATCTATTTTTTTCTTCCCTCCTCCCCTTGCTCTCTATCCCTGCTCCCTTTATTCCATGGGAGGGTCACTGCCCCTCACCTCTCATCTCTCTCCCCTGTTCTGCAGCAAAGTCCAGGCAACCCCGGCAAGCCTTTGCCCTCCCGGGTGGGTGCCTGTCTGCTGCAGATGGGCCTAGTGAGAGCCTGCAGGACAGCTGGTGGGGGAGCTGGCCCCAGAGGCCCAGCTGGCTCCAGAACCCCGCACACTCTGTTACTTCCCCGCAGGAAGCTCTTCCCAGGCTTTGGGCTTTGATCAGCCAGGGGGTTTCTCATTTATTCATTTTTGGAGTCAGGGTCTCACTCTGCCAAGCAGGCTGGAGTGCAGTGGCATGATCCTAGCTCACTGCAGCCTCCAACTCCCTGGTTCATGGGATCCTCTTACCTCAGCCTCCCAAGTAGCTGGGACTACAGGAACAGGCCACCAAGCCCAGCTAAATTAAAAAATTTTTTTTTGCAGAAATGGGGGTCTCATTATTTTAGCCTCAAGTGATCCTCCTGCCTCTGCCCCCCAAAGTGCTAGGATTATAGGCGTGAGCCACCGCGCCTACCCACCAGGGCATTGTTCTCTGCTCCTGCCCAGTGTGGTAGGTGCCTGAGCAGCTGAGACTGAGTTCAAATTCTGGGAGCTGAGATCCTCGCCGGGGGTTTGCTCTTTTTTAAGAGCATAGGAGACCCAGCTTATGTGGGAAGACTTGATAGGAAGCCTGGAGACCAGTTTTAGTACGAACACTGTTCCCTGTGGAAATAGTTAATTTATCAGTTGCACTCAGGAGGCAAAAGCATGAACTTGGACCTTTTTTTGCTTTGCTGTATGATGCTCAAAGATGCCATCACCTCCAGCACCTCCAGGCTCCTTTCCTTGGGCCTGGAGGCCGCCTGCCTGGGCCTCTGTTAATTTGGGGCATTGAAGAGTACCTGGGTTCAGAGCAAGCCCGCAGCACTAGACATCCCGACCACAGGGCCTGCCAGAGATGTCTACCCCTCCTTTCCCGTCCCCTGTGGCCTGCACCGAAGCCACCTATACAACTGTGCTCTCCTGATCACCAGAAGGGGAAAGAGGGGACCGGACAGAGGGATGCAGTCGAGGTCCTTTCAAGTTCAGTGTTTTAACAAACCTGGAGGCCAGAAATAGAAACAGGGAGGCCTGGCCCTGCCGGTGGCCGGTGGCTGGTGACTGGTGGCTGTCCAGAGTTCTCCTCTCCCAGGGCGCTGAGGGTTCACAGGCTTCTCCCAGGGAAGCCCAACACTCGTCCTCAAGGCGGAGATCGGCTCCTAAGCCCGCCAGGTGCAGACCGGTTCCCTAGGCACGGACTGGGCCTGGCCCACCTCAGGCACAGGGCGAGAGTAGACAGGGTTGCTGGGCAAGTGGAGCTGCGTCCACTGGTGGCACCTGGACGCCCACCTGGTTTTCAGGTTCCAATCGGCTTCCCCAGGTGCAAGCTGCACGGCTCTGCGTGGGACCCCAGGTGGCCGTCCTGCCTGACAGCCTTTCTCCTCAGTTTCGTCTGGCCCAGTGTCAAGGCCCTCCCGAGTTCCTAGCCCTGCCCTGGGCCCTGGGGAAGGTGCTCACGCTGCAAGACTCTCCCGCCTTGGTGTGAGAGGAGCCCTTGAACCCCAGCGGGGCCAGCACTGCGGGGGCAGCCCTGGGCTCCTGCTCGGAGTGAGCTGCGGCCGCCGACAGCCTCAGGCTGCTTGAGCTGTTTGAGCTTCCGTCCCTTTGCGGATGGCTGCAGTTTGAGTGCGGCCCCAGTAAACCTAGGGAAAGTTTCTTGTTCTGGAGGAATCTGCGGCTAGAAACGGGCTTTTCTGAGGTCACAGACAAGTTCCCCCGCCAGCCGAGCTCATCAGCAGAGAGCAGGCGGCGCTCTCAGCCGACTGGGCTGGTCTGGGGAGGCGGCCATAAGGCTCCCACGCCGGGTGAGCGGCGTCCACGGCGGCCGGTCCCGAGTCAGGAGGGAGAGGCGGTCCCACAGCCTGAGGAGGGGCTTGAGGAGGAGAGACTCAGGCTTAAAGGACAGAGGCTGGGTGAGAGCCCAGGAGATCAGTTCTAGTCTGGGCACCATCCTCCTGGGACCATTTAATTGATAAGCTGGGCTTAATAAGAGATGACAAAATCCAACTTGACTTTCTCATTTTATAATTCTCCCCAAAGGCACCCTCACCTCTAGAGTCTCTGCACAGAATGGTCCTGCCCCTCCTGGTGTTAATCTGGGAAAACTGAAAAGTTTCTTGAATTTGCCGGGTTTTGGTGGCTTACCTGGTGGTATTATCCAAACCCTTCTTCTCCAGGGACATGAGGCCTTGGTGACCGTATCCTTCTCGGCTAGGGTTGCTACCTGTGATCTTTCAAGACCGCCACTGGGCACCAGAACTCAGAGGCAGCCAGGCAGGTTGTCTGTCTCCGCACACACTCCCACCCTCGTCACCGCGGGAGAGCAGCCACACCGCGTCCCCTCCGTAGCCTCAGTTACCCCGTCAGCGTCGCGTCTCTTCTCTTTTCCCGTTGGTGTTTGGACCCCAGGAGGCCAGAGTGCCCAGGCAGCAGCCACAGCCCGTGTAGCATCTGGCTCAGCGTGGTTAATGCCACATCACCTGGCAGGTGGGGCCACGACTTCTAACCCAGCAGGGCCTAGAGGTAAGGAGACAAGAAGCACAAATGCTTCCAGTGGGGCTTTGGCTGTGTTGGAAATGGGCCCACCCTGCCAGCCCTGGATTCCTGGACCCACGTACTCCTTTCACCGGGGACACAGGCAGACGGAGGTCCCCGATTCAGTATACCTATGCTACACCATGGGAGTTTGCACCCCGTCTCGGAGAGCATTGCTTCTGAGTCCGGGGGGAACACCGCAGGTTGTCCCAGCGCCCTGAGTGACAGAGGCCAGCTTCGGAGTGCCGCAGCGTGACACGGCCAGTGGGTCCCACGGTGACAGGCGCACTCCCACACCTCATCTGCAGGGAAGCGGGTCTGCAGGACGGAGCCGTGCTGCGTGGAGTCGGGCGCCCCGTGAGCCCTGGACGGAGGCGTTTGGCTGAGGGTTTATGGGGAGAACGAGCAAACTCATGCCCGGGTTCAGCTTCCTTCTGTGCGAATAAACTGCTGGCTCCTTGAGGACGGAGGAAGCCCAGTGTAGCCAACTTGCCATCAAGTTGATGCGTAGTGTCCTTACAGAGTATTGCCACACTGCTGGCTTGGTGCTGGTCTCTGTTGCTGCCGTGCGGGACATTCAGAGGCGGCACAAACTGAGAATGAAGTTAAGAATGTAATTCAATTCACTGTTGAATTGCATCCGGTGTTTAGAAATAAATTTCAATAAATGTTTGCAAGACTTGTATACTAAAATCCACAGAACACTGCTGAGACAAATTAAATTAAATCTCAATGAACGGAGAGACATTTAATGTTCTTGATGGGAAGACTCAGTATTGACAAGATGGCATTTGTCTCTAAATTGATCTACAAATAAAATCCCTACCCAAATCCAAGCAAGTGCTTTTATAAAAATTGATTCACTGATGCTAGAATTTGTAGTGGAATACAAAGGACCTGGAAAAGCCAAAACAATGTTGGAAAAGGAGAATGAAGTAGAACTCACACCACCCAGTTTCAAAAGTTACCATAAAGCCACAGTACCAAGACAGTGTTATATTGCCACAAGGATGAGCCAATATAAACGGGTAGAAGAAAACTGAGTGTCCAGATATGAATCCTTACTTTTATGGTTAATTTTCAACAAAGTTGCCAAAGGAGAGTCTTTTCAACACACAGCGCTTGGACTTTGGGATAGCCACGTGAAAAATGTAAATTTTTACCCTTACCTCACATCAAACACAAAAATATCTCAAAATGGATAGACCTTAATGTAAGGTTTCTTTTTCTTTTCTTTTTTTGTGAGACAGTGTCTTGCTCTGTTGCCCAGGTTATAGTGCCGTGGTCTCAGCCTAGCTCACAGCAACCTCAAACTCCTGGGCTCAGGCAATCCTCCTGCCTCAGCCTCCCGAGTAGCTGGGACGACAGGCATGCGCCACAATGCCTGGCTAATTTTTTCAATATATACTTTTAGTTGTCCAGCTAATTTCTTTCTATTTTTAGTAGAGACAGGGTCTCACTCTTGCTCAGGCTGGTCTTGAACTTCTGAGCACAAATGATCCTCCCGCCTCGGCCTCCCAGAGTGCCGGGATTACAGGCATGAGCCACCACGCCTGGCCTTAATGTAAGGTTTAAACCTATAAAAGTAATAGAAGGAAACGTAGAAGAATATCTTCCTGAGCTCAGATTGGCAAAGAGTTCCTAGATAGATACCAAAGAGTTCCCAGCTAGATACTATGAGCTCAGGTTGCACAAAGAATTTTTAGATAGACACATAAAAATGATTGATAAATTGGATTTCATCAAAATCAGTAACTTTTCAGTTCCAAAGACATTATTAAACAAATAAAAAAAAAAGCCACAGACTGTCATCACACATTTACACATCATATATCTGAAAAGGAAGTAGTATCTAGGAGACATAAAGAACTCCTACAGGCCGGGCGCGGTGGCTCACACCTGTAATCCTAGCTCTCTGAGAGGCCGAGGTGGGCGGATTGCTCGAGGTCAGGAGTTCGAAACCAGCCTGAGCAAGAGCGAGACCCCGTCTCTACTATAAATAGAAAGAAATTAATTGGCCAACTAATATATATAGAAAAAATTAGCCGGGCATGGTGGCGCATGCCTGTAGTCCCAGCTACTCGGGAGGCTGAGGCAGGAGGATCGCTTGAGCCCAGGAGTTTGAGGTTGCTGTGAGCTCGGCTGACACCACGGCACTCACTCTAGCCTGGGCAACAAAGCGAGACTCTGTCTCAAAAAAAAAAAAAGAACTCCTACAACTCAATAATAAAATGAGAAGCCACATAAAGATGGACAAAAGATTTCAGTCATCGTTTCACCAAAGAATATACCTGCATGCTTAGTATATCATGGAAAGATGAGTTTTTCAGCATCTTTAGTCATCAGGAAAGAGGAAATTAACCACAGTGAGGTACCACTACACACCACTAGAATGGGCACAATAAGAAAAGCATGGTGAAGGATGTAGAGAGATCTTGCTGGTGGCTATGTAAATAGGAGAGTCACTTTGGGAAACAACTTGACAGTGTTTTAAAACATTAAACATAAACTTGTCATATAGCTCAGCGATTCCCATCCTGGGATCTACCCAGATAAATGAAAACATACGCCCACACAAAGACATATACCTGAATTTTTATAGCATTGTTATCTACGTAACAGCCCTCCAAACTGGAAAACCCCTGAATATCAATTGGCGATATCAACAAGCCTAGATATACCCATACTATGAAATACTATCCAACAATTACAAGGATAAAACATGGATGAACCTCAAAGACACAAATGAGTGCAAATTGTATAATTTCGTTTACATAAAATGTCTAGAAAAGGCCAAAAAAGCAGATTGGTTGTCGCCTTGGGCTGAGGATGAGAGTGAGGACTTAATGTCAAATAAGAAGTAGGAAATTTTTGCAATGACAATGTGCTAAAACTGGATTTTGGTGACAGCTGCATGACTCCATAAACTTACTAACATCACTGAACTGCATGTGTGACGGAGTGGGAGAGGAGGGGAGGTGGCAGAGATGCGGCAGTCAAAGTGTTCCCTCTGAGAAAGCAGGTGGCGACGGCAGTGCTCTTGTGCTTCCTGTTTCTAGAACCGGCACGTGTTCTGGGGAGGTGGTGGTTAAGGTAACTCTGGGTGTAGTAGTGAGTGGATGGAGCCCTTCGTTATTTACTCCCCAGAGCCCTAAATGGACCTGTGCCAGCCTCTGTCCTCTCCCGAGGCTCCTCCCGCCCTGGGTGCCTGTCCCAGGTCCCATAGCGGGGTTGATGTGGAGTTCTCAGGGATTGGGCGACTGGCTAAATCCTGACCTTCCCTTTATTTAGAAGGTGATGAAGGGACACACAGGACCTAAGCCATCTTGGTCGTTCTGTGGGAGATTTGGAGAACTATAGGCCCCTACAGCTGGCAAGGATAGTAGAGATGACCCAGTATGAGCCCTTCGCTTCTCAGAGGGGTGGACAGGGGCCTGGAGCAGTAGATGCCTTAGTCAAGGCCCCTCAGATAGCTACAGGTAGAGGAGAAATAAGCACCCAGACTCTTGAGTGCCAGGCCGCTGTCTGCTGCAGCGCACTAGAGTCAGTGCTATTCAGTGGAGACACGGAGGTCAGAGTCCCTGTGAGATGGGACAAGTGATTCAGAGGCCACCAGGCTGTGGGGACCTTGTGGATCTTAAGGACTCAGAGGCCAGCTCCACCACCGGGCAGGGGAATGAAGGAGGAGACAGGAGTGGGGTCGGGAGATGCGTGCACACGTTTCTGTGCGTCTGCGTCCATGTGCTTCAGGTGGGGTGGGGCGTGTATAAAGAGAGGGCAAACATGCTCCTACCCATGACCTGGGTTGTGTTTTGCCTAAGCAGTTCAGGCAGGTGAAAAAGAGAGGATAGCTTTGGAAGGTGGGGGTGAAAGAAAAGAGAAAGCGCCAGGGTCTGTCTCCTTACTCTGCCGAGAGCGGAGAGGGGCTGCTGGGTGTCCCGGCCGGCCGGAGCGGCTCAGATGGCACAAGGGGCGCACGCCAAGCGAACGGCAAATGGGGCTGGGAAGGGGTGCTCCCTCCTGTGTCCCTGGCGACTTCCACGTCCGAGCTCAGCCGTGCAGCCGGGCCTGGCCCCCAGCACGCTCCTCCCGGCCGGGCCCGGCCCCACCCGGCAGCTCAGCTCAGCTCTGCTGCTGTCTCAGCGCCTGAAGCTCCGGTCCCTCACCCTGGCTCGGGTGTCATTGCCTTTCAGGGGAATTTAAGGCACCCTATCAGATTCCTCATCTTGACCTCGGGTGATGCTCAGCTGGGAAGATTAAAAAACCTGTGGAGCTTGGCTGTTTTTCTGACAAGGGCAGTGAGAAAAGGTGTTAACATGTGAATCTCCCGAGACACCGACAGGCAAGCAGGTTGGTGGCCACAGGCTGCTTGAAGAAGCCTCAGAGGCAGGCCCTGTCCCGGAGCTGACGCAGCGCCCAGGCTGCTGCGGAAGGCTGGGAGGGCCCAGCGCTGGCGCCTGCTTCCAGGTCTCCTCTCCGCCCTCACTGCCCGCTCCCTCCCTGCTGTGCTCCCGGAGCTCAGCACCTGCCACTGGGCTGCACGCCTCGCACCCCACTCCACAATGAGGCTGAACTCGCCTGGCATCATCATGAGCTTGGAGAGGAAACTGAGTCTGAGAAGGTCTGGGCAGGTTGCCCTGTGCTGGCCTCGGAGCCCCAGGCCGAGGGGCAGGGAGCATCCCTGGGTGTGATGCCCCAGACCCTCCCGCCCCAAATCAACGTCCCTCCCTCTGTAGCGGCATGACTGCTGCATTTCCAGTGAAGGCAGTGGCGAGGCGTCACAGGCCAGTCTGACACCCCTCTTTCCGGCCCCCAGCTCGGCCTGGGACAGCAGGCCAGGCCCCCCACTCACTGTGCCTGCAAGTGGGCCTGGAGTGTTTAAGTGAATAATCGAACAAATGAATTAGTGCCCTTCTATAATTGTTGTGGTTGTCAATGGTGTTTTTCAAACACCTTGGTAATATTTTTTTTTTTTGAGACAGAGTCTTGCTTTGTCGCCCAGGCTAGAGTGAGTGCCGTGGCGTCAGCCTTGCTCACAGCAACCTCAATCTCCTGGGCTCAAGTGATCCTTCTGCCTCAGCCTCCAGAGTAGCTGGGACTACAGGCATGTGCCACCATGCCCGGCTAATTTTTTCTATATATATTAGTTGGCCAATTAATTTCTTTCTATTTATAGTAGAGACGGGGCCTCGCTCTTGCTCAGGCTGGTTTCAAACTGCTGACCTCGAGCAATCCGCCCGCCTCTGCTTCCCAGAGTGCTAGGATTACAGGCGTGAGCCACCATGCCCGGCTGGTAATATTTTATTACATCTGTTTAATATTACTTTTATCTCTTGGAGAAACTGGATATAAAAATTTAGATAATGATTATTAAATTGAAAATATCCACAGTAAGTGTTACACAGAATTAATAAAAGATACAAATAATATGGTTTAAAGCAAATTTTCCCCCTTTCAAAGACATTCTTCTGTGCAGATGTCCTTTATAACCCCAAGTATTTGACTGCTAAAACCTGGACGTTCTATTTCTAAAGCATGTGCCAGGCATTCTTTGGAGTAAAACTGTATAATTCCATTACCTATTAAAATGTAAAAAGGAAGATAATCAAATTGTTCTTTACTCTCTTTGTGTGTGTGTGTGTATATATATATATATATATATATATATATATATATATATATATTTCATCAGGTTTCTTGGCCATATGTGCCATAATATGACTGAGACAAAAGCAGTTTCTGAAAAAATGGTTTCCTTTTTCTAGAGTGCCATAACGGTGGCCCTGAAGTGTACAGTGGGAACTGCAGCCCACCGAGCATGGCACATTGGATAGGAACTGTGCTTTGTAGTCATTTACCGTGTTCCCCAAAAAGAAACCTCACTCAGTTTGCACAACTGAGCTCCTCACCTATTCAGTTCCACCTGCCCCCTGGCATAGTGAATCAGCAAGCATGTGAAAACTTAGAATCCATGGAGTTTGATGACATTTAAGATCCCTGTAAATGTAACAGTTTAAGAGGCAAGCATTAGCTCATTTGCTCCTCCTGGCACCCTCTGTGGCAGGTGCTGCCTTTGCGGCCCTAAGTAATGATGACTGCGGCACAGTTGGTGCCAACAGCAGCACTTTGAGTAAGACAAACTAGTATTCTGTCACATTTCTGCAAATAACCAAACTCAACAATAAAGAAAAAAATAGTATAATCTCAAATAAAAAGTCAGCTGTGCATAATGGCTCTCATTCCTTCAAACTGCCACTTCCATCAGCCTCCAAATTATATGTTTCTGCCTGAAGTATTCATTCCCCTCCTCTTTGTTTCCCCGCCCAAGCACTAAGCCCTGGCCCTGGGGCAGTCTTCCGCGGGCAGCATTCTCCTCAGGGCACTCCACCAGCATCCAGCTCCCGGGCTCTAGTCATGACTGACAAAGCCTTCAGGGACCAAAACTTATACTCGCTTTTCACTCTGTCGTCTGGGGTTTCTTTGCGTCTGCGTCCCCCTCTCCTGCCCCCACTCCCTGCCCCTCCTGCCTGCTTTCCTGGTGAGGACCTGTGGGGCAGCCTGCGCCCCAGCCGCTCTGGGGACTCCGCTATGCCTGGAGCCCTCCGCACTCGCTCACCCCCCTCGGGAACACCTGCCACACCCTCGGGCTGCAGTGGCTACCGTTGTTAGTGGCTCCCGGGCAGGGATCCATTAGGCAGTGCAGGAGCAGGAACAGCAAAGCTGTTCCAGCAGACCAGGTCTGGGGACTGGGATCCTGGGCCTGTGTTCCATCTTTTTCAAGCGGTGGTGGTGGGAGGGGAAGAGTTGGTGAGCACTGCGGCAAAGTCTAGGCGCAGGTGAGTGGCTATGGTTCAGGCCCTAAGGAGCTGGACTCGGTAGCGGAAAGCAAATATGAATGCGGCCTTTTCTTTGTATAATTTTCCTCAAAGGCATCATCACCCCCCCAGGCTTCCCCAGGCACAGCCAGCAGCCTTGTTCGTTTGGATAAATAAAAACAAAAATGTACTTGGGCTCAGCTTCCCCCAGAGTGGCCCAAACACCCTGAGGTGCAGCTGTGGACACGATGGTGGTCAGACGCTGAACGCAGCTGGCTGCGCCTCCAAGTCCCAGATGGGGGCGGGCTTTCTGCCCTAGCCATCCTCTGTGGGGCAGATGGAGGCTTCCCCTTTCCTCCTGGGCCCCAATCCTGCGGCCTGAGTGTCTCCATTCTTCACCTTTAATTCCCCCATCACTCCCACCCCCAAGTATTTTGAGGCAATGAGCTCTTAGGACCAGAAAATCCCCTACTTTAGAGTAGGTGGAGAAGCTCTTAAATAAGTGTTTAGTTCTCCTACAGAGCCACAAAACCGGCTCCAAATGCCGACTGAAACCCCTAGTCTTTAGTGAATGCCCGCGTAGTTGGGAATTGGCTCAGCCGCCCTTCACTCATAAGTTAAAAAAACCAACAAAAGAAACAAAACCCCAACTCAGTTTAACCAAGTGAATTTTCCAACAGAGTTGATCAACAAGTTTGTGAAACCTAGGATCTACTGTGTTCCCTAAAATCTAAATAACTCCTTACATTTGTAACACTAATGTTAATTAAGTACTTACTGTGTTCAAGGTTCTAGTCTAAGATCCAAACAAATATTATCTTTTTCTTTTTTTTGAGACAGAGTCTTGCTCTGTTGCCCAGGCTAGAGTGCCGTGGTGTCAGCCTAGCTCAAGGCAACCTCAAACTCCTGGGCTCAAGCAATCCTCCTGCCTCAGCCTCCCAAGTAGCTGGGACTACAGGCATGCGCCACCATGCTCGGCTAATTTTTTTCTATATATTTTTAGTTGGCCAGCTAATTTCTTTCTATTTTCAGTAGAGACAAGATGTCACTCTTGCTCAGGCTGGTTTCGAACTCCTGACCTTGAGCAATCCGCCTGCTTTGGCCTCCCAGAGTGCTAGGCATGAGCCACCATGCCCGGTAAACAAATATTATCTTTATATATTCAAGATACAAGTCCTTTGTGGGATAGGTCGTGTTGGGGTCATGCATATCTGATTTTCTTTTTCTGTCAGGGATAGTTCCTGGATTCAAAGTCTCCTCCGACAGCAAAAGCTGGCTTCTGGCCCCCATCATCAGGCCCTGCATACCCCAATCCTGTGGCTTTCCTGTCACAATTTCCCAGTAGGTCAGTGGAATAAAACATCGTGGAATGGGGTCTCCCCTGACTCTTGGGGCTCTTGGAAGACCCTGCCCCACAGCAGAGCAGCCTGGATTTTAGTCTTGATTCTAAGCTAGCTGAGGGACTGTGTGCCCCGGGCAGGCCTCCTTGGGACTGTGAGAGTCTGAGGCCTCAGTTTCCTTCCCTGGGTACCAGAGTGATCACAGGGTCTCCCTCACTTGGACATAAATGGGAAAGTTCTCGGTAAATTTCTTTGTAACCAGAGACCCCAGGCAAAGTAAATGCCCTAGAGCGACCTCCTGGGATCTCTCCATCAACCTCTCTTCAAATGTCTCCCTCCACCCTCATATTTGTCCTTTCAGGAATTCCAGAGGAAAAAAAGTGTGAGGCAGTCAGACTCAGTGGCAGCGTGGGAGGACCCAGGGGAGGGAGAAGCGAGAAAGAGGCCCAGCCAGGGGAAGCAGGCGCAGCGGGAAGGAGCCGACCCGACTCCAGCCCGCTCTCACCGGGCCAGGAGGTTGCCAGCTGCCTGCCTGCAGGGACTTAGCTCAAGTGGGCCCTTCTCTACTCTCCTTCAGCCTCCCCAGTTTCTTTTTTTTTTTTTTTTGAGACAGAGTATCATTTGTTTCCATGCTTAGAGCTGAGTTGCCGTGGCGTCAGCCTATGGCCAAAGGCAACCTCAAACTCACTGGCTCAAGCAATCTCTCCTAGCCTCCCGACAGTAGCTGGGACTACAGGCATCGCGCCACTATGCCGGAATGCCGCTAATTTCTTTTTAATCTAATCAGGCAATTAATTTCTTTCTGTTTATAGTACAGCGGGTCTCGCTCTTGCTCAGGGCTGGTTGTGAATCCTGACCTTGAGCAATCCGCCCGCCTCGGCCTCCCAAGAGCTAGGATTACAGGCGTGAGCCACAGCGCCCGGCCTCTCCCCAGTTTCTTGTTGCGGTTCCCCATCCTACTCCTCCTCATTCAGCAAGTTGGACTCGGCAACCACTTCCTTAGCTTTCTTGGCTTCTACGTCTTGTGTCGCCTTTTCATAGGCGGGGCAGAGGTCCATCTCCTCGTTCCATTCCCTGCCTCCCGGCGTGCCAGACTCAGCAGGACACCCTCGCCCAGTGAACTCCAAACACTGCTCGTCCTTCCCCAGTGAGACCTCGTCTCTACTAAAAATTAGAAAGAAATTAGCTAGACAACTAGAAAAAAAATATATATATGTAAAATTAGCCAGGCATGGTGGTGCATGCCTGTACTCCCAGCTACTTGGGAGGCTGAGGCAGGAGGATTGCTTGAGCCCAGGAGTTTGAGGTTGCTGTGAGCTAGGCTGATACCATGGTACTCTAGGCCAGGCAACAGAGTGAGACTGTGTCTCAAACAAAACAAAACAAAACAAAAAAACAAAACAAAACACTACCCAAACAACCTTAGGTTGCAAGGGTAATTTAAAATCAAAATCAAAACCAAACAAATAAAAACAAAAGGCAAAGTCAAAACCACCCCAAAAGTGTATTATTATATATAAGCAACAAAGATAAAATTAAATTTTTTTTCTAAGTTTGGTGGTGCCCCCAAACATAAAATATTTAGGAATAAATCTTTAAAAAAGTATATAATGGGAGGCTGAGGTGGGAGGATCACTTAAGGTCAAGAGTTCAAGACCAGCCTGAACAAGAGTGAGACCCGTCTCTACTAGAAATAGAAAGAAATTATCTGGAAAACTAAAAATACATAGAAAAAAAATTAGCCGGGCATGGTGGCGCATGCCTATAGTCCCAGCTACTCGGGAGGCTGAGGCAGGAGGATTGCTTTGAGCCAGGAGTTTGGGGTTGCTGTGAGCTAGGCTGACGCCATGGCACTCTAGCCCGGGCAACAGAGTGAGACTGTGTCTCAAAAAATAAATAAAATAAAATAAAAAAGAAGAAGGTATTTAAGACTCCTGAAAACCAAGACACTGGAAACCAAGAAATACTGTAGAAGGAAAGTATAGTGGACCTAAACACATAATTCCCCTATTCATGCATAGCAAGACTCAACAGTATTGAGATGAAAATTCTCCCCAAATTTATGTGGAGATTCAAGTACCAAACAAAATTCTAGGAAGCTCTTTGATAGAAATTTATTAACTTATTTTAAAATTTATATGAAAACATAAAAGACCTAGAATAACCTGACCAATTCTTTTTAAATTTTATTTTCTTAGAAAGGAGTTTCAGGCAACGCCGAGCGGAGGAGGCAGGAACAGGAGCGCGAGCAGGAGCAGGGTAGGCACCATGGCTGGGATCACCACCATCCAGGCGGTGAAGCGCAAGATCCAGGTTCTGCAACAGCAGGCTGATGATGCAGAGGAGAGAGCCGAGCGCCTCCAGCGGGAAGTGGAGGGAGAAAAGCAGGCCCGGGAACAGGCTGAGGCTGAGGTGGCCTCCTTGAACCGTAGGATCCAGCTGGTTGAAGAGGAGCTGGATCGTGCTCAGGAGCGCCTGGCCACTGCCCTGCAAAAGCTGGAGGAAGCGGAAAAAGCTGCTGATGAGAGTGAGAGAGGTCTGAAGGTGATTGAAAACCGGGCCTTAAAAGATGAGGAAAAGATGGAACTCCAGGAAATCCAACTCAAAGAAGCTAAACATATTGCAGAAGAGGCAGATAGGAAGTATGAAGAGGTGGCTTGTAAGTTGGTGATTATTGAAGGAGACTTGGAACGCACAGAGGAACGAGCTGAGCTGGCGGAGTCCCGTTGCCGAGAGACGGATGAGCAGATCAGACTGGTGGACCAGAACCTGAAGTGTCTGAGCGCTGCTGAAGAAAAGTATTCTCAAAAAGAAGACAAATATGAGGAAGAGATAAAGATTCTTACAGATAAACTCAAGGAGGCAGAGACCCGTGCTGAGTTTGCTGAGAGATCGGTAGCCAAGCTGGAAAAGACAATTGATGATTTGGAAGATAAACTGAAATGTACCAAAGAGGAGCACCTCTGTACACAAAGGATGCTGGGCCAGACTCTGCTCGACCGAATGAGATGGAGCGCACCCCAGTCCCCGGCCGCTTCTCCCTCTGACCTGACTCCGCCCAGGCCAGCTCGCCCGAAGCTGACCTTCACACTGCGGGCTGATCTCTAACTGGAAGGCTGCTTTCTCCTTTCGCCACCCCTCCATTCTCACCCCACCCACCACGGCTTTTTCGCCAACTGTCTCTGCCTCTTCCCAGAGATTCCAGCTGGGCTAGAGGCTGAGCACCTTTGGGAACAACATTTAAGGGAATGTGAGCACAGTGCAAAATGTCTTTAAAAGCATGTTGTGATGTACACATTTTGTAATTACCTTTTTTTGTCGTTGTAGCAACCATTTGTAAAACATTCCAAGTACTTCCACAGCTCTGATGCAGCAGTCTAATCCCTTTTTCACTTTTGGAAGGTGACTTTGCAGCTTAATGCATATTGCCCTCTCCATAGAGGAGACAAAAAGGTATGAGCCTGCCTTACTGAGAACCAAACAGAGCCCAGGGAAAGACTCCACTATGGGAAACCTCATTGCTCTGTACAAAGTACCAGCCCAAACCTGAAAGGGGATCCCAGGAGGAGTAAGCCAAAATAAAAAAAAAACAACAAAAACATGCTGTTCAGGTTTTCAGCTTTAAGGTATCTTTGGACTTTTTTATTTTTTACATTAGAAGTGACCAAATTAAGATGGTGAGATCTCTGAGACCAGATTTTTGTCCTATTCCCAACCACTCACAGAATGGATCATGTGCCCTTTACTTTGAATTGACCACTTAATTGCTCTCCTGCCTCCTTGAAAGAAAGAAAATTATGTTTTTGCCACTGATTTAGCCATATGAAACTCATCTCATTACCCTTTTCTGGGTCCGAAGCTGCTATCTCTGAAAGTGCCATCTCATCATGCTTTGTATCAGTCAGTGCTGGAAAAATCTTGAATAGCTTATGTACAAAGCTTTGAAAATTTTATATTATTTTGAAACTTTGCTTCTTTGGGTTTGAGGCATCCTGGCCAACCCATCTGGCTGTGAGAGCTCTCTACAGTTTGTGGGCTGGCCATGTGCTGATCTTTTAAAGTTTTCTCCCCTGCCCAATCCCCACCTTTTGATGAGGTTTCTGTGAGGTCTGTTAGGTGTACATCCTGCAGCTTATTGGCTTAAAATGTACTCTCCTTTGGTGTGATCTCTTTGGGGCCAATTGGGAGAAAGAGAAACCAATAGTGCAACTGTTTTGATACTGAATATTGACAAGTGTCTTTTTGAAATAAAGTACCAGTCCCTCCAATCATCAGACTTATTTGACTTTTCTTTATTAAATGTGCTTTCTTCTAATTTATTGAATGTGCTTTCTTCACAGAAGTATGAGATTTGTGTTAAAAATCAGATCTTCATGGGTGGTTGTAGTAGGATTCAATGTAGAGCAAACAATTTAGAAGCAGACCAAAACTGAGTTCAAAACTCAGCTCTGAAATTACTAGTAGATATAAATCATTTAGTTTCATCATCTAAAATGGAGGTAATATATATTGATAGGATAAATGAAGATTAGAAATAGTACTTAATGTTTTAAAAGTTACTCAACACTGGCATGTTAAGGCTGAACTATACATTTTCCTTTACAACCATATTAATTCTTAAAAACCATGGATTTATTATGCTCCTTAAACAATATATGATGTTGATCATACTCCTATAAACGTGTAGTTTTTTTTTTTTTTTTTTTTTGAGACAGAGTCTCGCTTTCTTGCCCAGGCTAGAGTGAGTGCCGTGGCGTCAGCCTCACACTTGGGGTCCAATATTCAGTATCAAAACAGTTGCACTATTGGTTTCTCTTTCTCCCAATTGGCCCCAAAGAGATCACACCAAAGGAGAGTACATTTTAAGCCAATAAGCTGCAGGATGTACACCTAACAGACCTCACAGAAACCTCATCAAAAGGTGGGATTGGGCAGGGGAGAAAACTTTAAAAGATCAGCACATGGCCAGCCCACAAACTGTTGAGAGCTCTCACAGCCAGATGGGTTGGCCAGGATGCCTCAAACCCAAAGAAGCAAAGTTTCAAAATAATATAAAATTTTCAAAGCTTTGTACATAAGCTATTCAAGATTTTTCCAGCACTGACTGATACAAAGCATGATGAGATGGCACTTTCAGAGATAGCAGCTTCGGACCCAGAAAAGGGTAATGAGATGAGTTTCATATGGCTAAATCAGTGGCAAACTATATTCTTCTTTCAAGGAGGCAGGAGAGCAATTAAGTGGTCAATTCAAAGTAAAGGGCACATGATCCATCTGTGAGTGGTTGGGAATAGACAAAAATCTGGTCTCAGAGATCTCACCATCTTAATTTGGTCACTTCTAATGTAAAAAATAAAAAAGTCCAAAGATACCTTAAAGCTGAAAACTGAACAGCATGTTTTTGTTGTTTTTTTTTTATTTTGGCTTACTCCTCCTGGGATCCCCTTTCAGGTTTGGGCTGGTACTTGTACAGAGCAATGAGGTTTCCATAGTGGAGTCTTTCCCTGGGCTCTGTTTGGTTCTCAGTAAGGCAGGCTCATACTTTTTGTCTCCTCTATGAGAGGGCAATATGCATTAGCTGCAAAGTCACCTTCCAAAAGTGAAAAAGGATTAGACTGTGCATCTT